CTGCAGGATGCCAAGCCAGGTAAGCATCCCCCCTCATGCCCAGACCCCACACCCATATCCCCCTCACTCCCCTCCCCCCACCAAGAGCCCGCATTCCCAGCTTACTCTGACACCCTGCCCTAACTCCCCTCTTGTACCCTCCCTTCTTCTTCGGGTAGTGTCCCCATGGGTGCTCCACTCTAGATGTTGGGCTCGTCCCGCTGCAGGATGCCAAGCCAGGTAAGCATCCCCCCTCATGCCCAGACCCCACACCCATATCCCCCTCACTCCCCTCCCCCCACCAAGAGCCCGCATTCCCAGCTTACTCTGACACCCTGCCCTAACTCCCCTCTTGTACCCTCCCTTCTTCTTCGGGTAGTGTCCCCATGGGTGCTCCACTCTAGATGTTGGGCTCGTCCCGGTGCCGCAGGTCAGAGATTGTTCAGCCGGACCGTGCATGCACAGTGGCAGCGCGTGCTGTTCGCGCCGTTTGTGAGTTTGCACGCAGTCCGGCTCCCACCAGTTCCTCCTAACCGTTCATGGTCACAGGTGGAGCAAAGCCCTGCTCCTCAGTCTGACCAAAGAAACCTGTAAAAAAATTATAAATAGTTAAATAAAAGTTGATAGTTAGTTAGTTATAGTAGTAGTTCTATAGTTCGTTCTAGTTCTTGTTTAAAAAAAAAAAAAAATTTCCCTCAGACTACTAGTTATAATTTCCAATATGCCGGGGTCTCCCGGTTTCAAGAACTGGGCAGCGTGCCGTGATGCAATGCCGGCATCAGATGGACAGTCAACGTGTATAAAGTGTTTGGGAGAGGGTCATATCCCTCAGAAATGCCCACACTGTTCGAAGCTGACGGCCCGGGCCAGACGTGACCGCGAGATGCGGCTTAAAATGCTTCTCTTCAGCAAGGCATTGCAGCCTGCTGACACTGAGCCACCCAAACCGCCAACTTCTTTGGAGCAAACAGCGGGCAAGAAGTCACCCCCCTGACATTCATCATCAAGAGTATGGGTGACAAGCCAGGTACCTCAAGATCAATGGTGACAAGCACAAGACAAGCCGCAGTATATCAGTTCTGAGCCCTTCCTGCTATGGCACCGGTTCCAGCCCCAAGCCCTGATTCTGCCCCGGTGCCCATAAAATGAAAGTCTACAGCACCGATAACTAGGGCTCCATTGGCGGTGGTCCTGGCACCGACATCCGTACCTACAACGGTGTTAGGATTGAAAGTTTTATTCTTTTTATATTTCTTATTTTAGGTATAATAATATAGTAGTAATGTAGCAATAATATAGCAATATAAGGCATATATATATATACACACACATTACTATATATAATTCAACCCATAAAACTTACCTCTATAAATGTCATTGTTTTCACTCCTGGTGTACTGCCAATAGTCTCGACACGATGTCCATTCCAATCCATTGCATTCTGGACTATGTACTTTACTTGCACCATTC